AAGTTCAAACCTGCTATCAAAGATATTCCAGGTCCAAACCTGCTATCAAAGATATTCTATACAGCGGTGACAAAACAAACAGCACAAATTGATGTTCAGTATGTAATGATATATTATCCAGCGATCTGAGTTTTTGAGAAATTTTTTTAGCCTATTAAAATATTAGTTTTAGAAGATAACATTACTGAGTAAGAAAAAAAATTAACTTAAAGTTAAAAAAATACGATCTTACAAATGATTAATTTAGGTGTATAATTTATAAATGATTTATTTAGGTGTATAATTTATAAATGATTTATTTAGGTGTATAATTTATAAATGATTTATTTAGGTGTATAATTTATAAATGATTTATTTAGGTGTATAATTTATAAATGATTAATTTAGGTGTATAATTTATAAATGATTTATTTAGGTGTATAATTTATAAATGATTAATTTAGGTGTATAATTTATAAATGATTTATTTAGGTGTATAATTTATAAATGATTTATTTAGGTGTATAATTTATAAATGATTTATTTAGGTGTATAATTTATAAATGATTTATTTAGGTGTATAATTTATAAATGATTTATTTAGGTGTATAATTTATAAATGATTAATTTAGGTGTATAATTTATAAATGATTTATTTAGGTGTATAATTTATAAATGATTAATTTAGGTGTATAATTTATAAATGATTTATTTAGGTGTATAATTTATAAATGATTTATTTAGGTGTATAATTTATAAATGATTTATTTAGGTGTATAATTTATAAATGATTTATTTAGGTGTATAATTTATAAATGATTAATTTAGGTGTATAATTTATAAATGATTTATTTAGGTGTATAATTTATAAATGATTTATTTAGGTGTATAATTTATAAATGATTTATTTAGGTGTATAATTTATAAATGATTTATTTAGGTGTATAATTTATAAATGATTTGTTTAGGTGTATAATTTATAAATGATTTATTTAGGTGTATAATTTATAAATGATTTATTTAGGTGTATAATTTATAAATGATTTATTTAGGTGTATAATTTATAAATGATTAATTTAGGTGTATAATTTATAAATGATTTATTTAGGTGTATAATTTATAAATGATTTATTTAGGTGTATAATTTATAAATGATTAATTTAGGTGTATAATTTATAAATGATTTATTTAGGTGTATAATTTATAAATGATTTATTTAGGTGTATAATTTATAAATGATTTATTTAGGTGTATAATTTATAAATGAATAATTTAGGTGTATAATTTATAAATGATTTATTTAGGTGTATAATTTATAAATGATTTATTTCGGTGTATAATTTATAAATGATTTATTTAGGTGTATAATTTATAAATGATTTATTTAGGTGTATAATTTATAAATGATTTATTTAGGTGTATAATTTATAAATGATTTATTTAGGTGTATAATTTATAAATGATTTATTTAGGTGTATAATTTATAAATGATTTATTTAGGTGTATAATTTATAAATGATTTATTTAGGTGTATAATTTATAAATGATTTATTTAGGTGTATAATTTATAAATGATTTATTTAGGTGTATAATTTATAAATGATTTATTTAGGTGTATAATTTATAAATGATTTATTTAGGTGTATAATTTATAAATGATTTATTTAGGTGTATAATTTATAAATGATTAATTTAGGTGTATAATTTATAAATGATTTATTTAGGTGTATAATTTATAAATGATTTATTTAGGTGTATAATTTATAAATGATTTATTTAGGTGTATAATTTATAAATGATTTATTTAGGTGTATAATTTATAAATGATTTATTTAGGTGTATAATTTATAAATGATTTATTTAGGTGTATAATTTATAAATGATTTATTTAGGTGTATAATTTATAAATGATTTATTTAGGTGTATAATTTATAAATGATTTATTTAGGTGTATAATTTATAAATGATTTATTTAGGTGTATAATTTATAAATGATTTATTTAGGTGTATAATTTATAAATGATTTATTTAGGTGTATAATTTATAAATGATTAATTTAGGTGTATAATTTATAAATGATTTATTTAGGTGTATAATTTATAAATGATTTATTTAGGTGTATAATTTATAAATGATTTATTTAGGTGTATAATTTATAAATGATTTATTTAGGTGTATAATTTATAAATGATTTATTTAGGTGTATAATTTATAAATGATTTATTTAGGTGTATAATTTATAAATGATTTATTTAGGTGTATAATTTATAAATGATTTATTTAGGTGTATAATTTATAAATGATTAATTTAGGTGTATAATTTATAAATGATTAATTTAGGTGTATAATTTATAAATGATTTATTTAGGTGTATAATTTATAAATGATTTATTTAGGTGTATAATTTATAAATGATTTATTTAGGTGTATAATTTATAAATGATTTATTTAGGTGTATAATTTATAAATGATTTATTTAGGTGTATAATTTATAAATGATTTATTTAGGTGTATAATTTATAAATGATTTATTTAGGTGTATAATTTATAAATGATTTATTTAGGTGTATAATTTATAAATGATTTATTTAGGTGTATAATTTATAAATGATTTATTTAGGTGTATAATTTATAAATGATTTATTTAGGTGTATAATTTATAAATGATTTATTTAGGTGTATAATTTATAAATGATTTATTTAGGTGTATAATTTATAAATGATTTATTTAGGTGTATAATTTATAAATGATTTATTTAGGTGTATAATTTATAAATGATTTATTTAGGTGTATAATTTATAAATGATTTATTTAGGTGTATAATTTATAAATGATTTATTTAGGTGTATAATTTATAAATGATTTATTTAGGTGTATAATTTATAAATGATTTATTTAGGTGTATAATTTATAAATGATTTATTTAGGTGTATAATTTATAAATGATTTATTTAGGTGTATAATTTATAAATGATTTATTTAGGTGTATAATTTATAAATGATTTATTTAGGTGTATAATTTATAAATGATTAATTTAGGTGTATAATTTATAAATGATTAATTTAGGTGTATAATTTATAAATGATTTATTTAGGTGTATAATTTATAAATGATTTATTTAGGTGTATAATTTATAAATGATTTATTTAGGTGTATAATTTATAAATGATTTATTTAGGTGTATAATTTATAAATGATTTATTTAGGTGTATAATTTATAAATGATTTATTTAGGTGTATAATTTATAAATGATTAATTTAGGTGTATAATTTATACATGATTTATTTAGGTGTATAATTTATAAATGATTTATTTAGGTGTATAATTTATAAATGATTTATTTAGGTGTATAATTTATAAATGATTTATTTAGGTGTATAATTTATAAATGATTTATTTAGGTGTATAATTTATAAATGATTTATTTAGGTGTATAATTTATAAATGATTTATTTAGGTGTATAATTTATAAATGATTTATTTAGGTGTATAATTAGGAAGCAATTTAAATAGAACATCCTGTAAAATATTATCATTTTGTCCATTTAATAAAAAATTTTGGAAGTTCTTTGTACCAATAATTAAGAAACTGAGGTAAATTAATATTTAGTGGGATATTCTTTTTAGAATTTATGTTTCTGTTAACATCCTTCCACAAATCTTTTAATCGGATTTAGGTTTGATGACTAAGCGGGCCACTCCAAAACATCAATCTTGTTAGCATTAAATCACACTTAATCACTTTTGCCATTGTGCTTGGGGGCGTTGTTTAGTTGGAACTTCCCAACAAAAGAGTAGTTTTCTTCCTTGAATTCCATGCAACAGGCCCACGCTACACTTTGAAAGACTGCCCAAAAACACACATTAGTAATCACTTTTACTTGATTATAAAATTGTTTTTATTTAAAGTAAAAACAAAAGTGTTTAAATAAATTTGAAAAATTAAAAAAGAACACTTACATCGTTGTTTATTATTTCGTTTAAATTTAATATTAAGGTGTAAGACCCTAAAAGAAAAATAGAACTGCCCATTTAAACTTTTTAAAAATTCAAAGCTTTGAACTTTTTTGGAAAAAATTTCAAATTTTTTAATTTTGCGAAAAAATGCGCAATAAAGTGTACAAATTAAGTAGATTAAATGTGACAATTTTTGATAAATTAATTATTTATCGAAAATTGTCACTTAACATTTTAGTTAAAAAAAAAAGTGTACATAGTATCAATCAATAGAGTGATACTATTTTTTCTCTAAAAAAATGATTTTTTTTAAAATTAAAATGATAAGAGAAAAAAATTTTCAATAAATAATTTTCTACTTTATTTGTACTCTTAATAGCGTATTTTTTCGTAAACTAAAAACTTATTTTTTATTTTAAAAATTTACTTTAAAACGTTAGATTTTATGTTTTTTAAAAGATTTTTTAAAATAATTAAGTACTTTAAGTATTTATTACAAAATATTTCATTTTTAATTTAATTGAATATTACTGATAGGAAGATGAAATACAAAAAGCAACAACTGCAATGCATCTCTGCAAGAAGAGGCGATTCTACGAATAAAAATGAGGGGGAGGGAGGGTTAATCCTTTAAAAGTACCGACTGGTCCCTTAATAAAAAAAAGTTCTCAAAACCAAAATTTACCCGACTGAATTGTGTAAAACACCCAACTAAATTCGTAGAAAAAAAGCAACTATAACTTTAAATCCACCTTCTTCTCCACACCCCTTCCTCCCGTAAAATCCCCTGCAATAAAGTGATGGCAAAGCAGACGCCGCACCCGGGCTTCCGGTATCCCTATCCTTTTTTCAGCACAATCGTAAATTATTACATAGTATAAAAATGTTTACATTTTTCTTTGTATAAAAAATAAGAACCTTTTCTTTAAGTAGAAACTTTAAAATTTTATAGAGTAAATTTAGGTAAAAATTCATTAAAAGTAAATTTAAAAATAAAGTCGCTACAGTAAATGTTTAAAGTAATTGGACTCCTTTCCTTAAATTAAAAAGCAGACGCTCTATATGGATGACCTTTTGTTTTTTTTTATTAATAAATTAAATACAGCAGTTTTGAAATATAAAAAGTGTAACTCATAATGCAGGGTAACCTAAGTAACTCAGATTTTTACATTTTTAAATCAAAACCATAGCTTCAGGGATTTCGTCCAGAAACAGCACTTGATAAGTTTCATTCATAATATTCGGTACAACACGACAAGCCCGCCAATTGTCTGGAGCAAAATTTGCTTCCATTAATATAGGTTGAACTGAAGTGTGTTCTGCAAAAAAACAACAAAAAAAACAAAAACAATAAATAAACAAAAAATTATGTTAACAGAATAGTTACTAAAATAGTTAGCAGAATGGAAAGTTAGAAAGAAGCAAATAGAGACCGAGAACATGATCTCACTGTTCATAAACTAATTTCTGATATAAGTTATACATTACATGCGCCTAATGTTATGACGTATGACACTGAAACGCGGGAAATAAAGATTGATGATGTCCAGCGTTAGATGTGTGGCGTGTGACGTAGACGGATGTATGGATGTGTGGCGTGACTTGAATAGATAAGAAAAAAAGCGATGGTCTTAAACAGAAATTAGAAACAGTGACTAAATGGGTTTTGACGTAAAGCGCAAAAATCTTCATAAACCGTTCCCCACACCTTTTAAGAAATATGCCTAAGATGTTCTTTTACAATTTAAAGAAAATGTAACTCATAATTTCCGAAAGTAAGTAAACTTTGAAACAACAAAAACTACACATACACAAAAGGTTTATATATAGAAACTGATACGTTTTATTTATATACAGTTTAAAATAAAAATCTAACCTTTATCTTTCCATGTTAATATAACATCAATGCCATAGAATGCACGACA